GCTTTGTCTGCGGCTGGTGGGCCTCGGTGCGGGGTGCTGTCCCGCCTGCCGTGCGAAGCACCTCCGGCGGAGTCAGTGGGCTTGGTTGCTCGAGTGGCAGTGAAAATCGTGGCCGGCTCGAGCCCGGGAGCTGCACTATCTCTGCCAGAACTTTATGCAAGTTTGCAGTGGGCCAGGTTTTGGGGGAAGGAGTCAGGTTCCCAGATAACCCCAGAAGAGATGGAACTTCCCCTTGGGGTTTCGGGTGACACGGGTGGACCTTGTCTCCCCTGTGCGCATGCTCGGGAGCCGAGTGCTTCCCCAGGAGCCGGCCTGCCTCCTGGCCAGAAGTGGGCTTTTGCAGCCACCTCATAAATAGGGAGCTGCGAGGTGTGAGGGGATTGGGGGCTTACCTGTGCAGGTGCATTGTAACTGCCCTTTGGGAGGAAGGACTAACACCAGATTGTGGAGGGGAGCGCAAGGCAGAAGGTCTTGCCCAGGTAGGGCCCTGTGCTGGCCAGGTGCCAAGACAGTGCCAGGGTGTTGAGCAACAGGAACGCGGGAGCTGCTTTTCTTTGGCAAATCTAATCCAGACTTAGGCCCGTCAATCAGACTGTGTTAGGACAAAACTAAGAGGCAAGGCTGGACAGGCTTGTGTTTGTGTTCAGAGTGGGTTAGTAACAAGGTTGTGTTCAAACGTCTTCTGCACTGTCAGCTGCATGACGTCGGCTGACTGCTGAAGCAGTGAGTTTTGGGGTCAGGAGGTAAGGGATTCTTACCCCACGCTGGGATGCACCCAAGATGACAGCAGCAGAGCAAGAGTTGGCGCCCCGTTTTCCACCCTGTCAGTTCTGCGGCCACAGCGCTGTGTGAAGTTGGTTTGTCTTGTGGAAATGGCACGTTCTGCTAGTCTGGGTGGAGACTCTTGCAGTTTGCCCTTGTTTTCTGTTTGCATCTATTGTGTCCTCCTTGCATTTTCCTATAGATACACCCCCCGATGGTGTCTATAATATATTCTAGCTGTGTATCCCTAACCCTTGAACCAGGGCTTCAACAAATGATGTCTTTATGCCTCTTGGAGAGTGCACGCCTGAGATCCTGTTCTCATTTGCGGCTGTTGGGTTTGGTGCAGGGTCAGTGACAGTCATTGCTGCCCACATTCCCCTCCCACAGCCCTAGGCTGGCTCCCCTCCCCTTGTCCTGAGCTGGCATCCTGCCTGGTGTCTCTGGCTCTGGGTCGCTGGTCTCCATCTGCTGGGCGGTCCTGAGACCCTGTGTGCTGGTTTGATGCAGAAGGAGCTTTATTTTGGGGGATACTGGGATCAAAGTCGCGTCCTTGTGCTTGCAAGGCAGGCAGCGGCACCACTGAGCTAAATCGACTGCAAGCTCAGAGCGATTGCAAGACTTCGCACTGGGCTACTCCACCACCCTGGAGGTGTTCTTAGTGACCTGGGAAGGGTGAGCCATAACACTCGGGCAAAGTTGCCTTAGTAAAAGATGGGTGTCTTTACGAAGCAGTCTTAGGACTTCAGGCTCAGAAAATACGCTCTGAAGTGTCTCCAGCCTTCATGCTGTGGAGACAAGCCTGGCAGTGCCGAAGGACCCAGCCCAGCCGAGCTGGAGTGTTTTAGGTGACTGCCTGTTAAGAGTTTCGCACTGCTCCCTGTCAAGTCTCCCTCCCTGGGCAGCAGCACTGTCCTGTGTGCATGTGCGTTGGGGTTGCGTCCACCTCAAAGACATGCCTTTTGCACTCGGAAAATAATTCAGAAATTGTTTTGGACCAGAAAACCAAATGAGAACGTCCATTAGAAGAAGCTCAGTGCATCTTGCTGCCGTGGCTGTTTGTCTGGGCCCAGGTCACCTTGGTGACCAGTTGTTGGGAGGCAGCGAGGTGAGATGCGTTTCATTTCAGGATTCTTGTCCGCTAATGGGCCTTGAGGCAGGAGCGGCTTTGGAGTCACCGAGTTCAGCCACAGAACTGTCCTCGCCACTGGGTGGAGCCTGGCTTCGGCTCTGGAGGGTCAGGCAGTATTCTGGCTCCTGGCATTGGGTGCTGGGGCCGGAGCGGAGAGCCTGGGTCCACGCCAGCTCACCAAGAGCGACGTGGGTGTGGTTGAAGCGGAAACAGGAGTAGCGTTCCTTGCTTACGTCTCTCCCTTTATTCTGTGTAAGGATTAAGTTTAGAGAGCAGTGACGGTGAACTTTTTTATTGCCCGCTGCCGCACACGTGCCATAGCTTCGCCTCTGTTGTTCGTAGAGATAAGAGGAGTGGCTCAGCAAACACTTGTGTGGATTGTAGTGGTGAAACAGTTCCGTCACCTCAGAGCCCGAGACATACATTTGAGTCAAGGTGACGGTGTCCCTGAGAGGAAGCCAGCCGCTGTCACTGGAGTGGACTCAGTTTCCTGCAGAGGTCTCTAAGCAGAAAGGGTGGGTTGGGTTTTAGCACTTGCTGGGCTTCCCGAGCCCTTGACCAGCGCCTGGGTCACTCCAGGAAGCCTCCGCCCACGCTGATGCCAGCAGGTTCTCACTGGCCGCAGCCTGAGCTGCCTGCCCTGATGGAGTCGGGTTCTGGGGAGCCCCAGCACCCATGAATGAAGTCTTGTTCAGTTCTGGTGTGGTCTCACCTTCCGGGCGAGTGCTGAGCGTAGGCCCCTTGCACCTCTGCCTGCCTGGTGGCCGCCTGGCCCGGAGTGAGTGTCGGTCGTTCGGGCGTCCTCTTCCCGACTGCGTCTCCTGGTGCCTCTGCCCCTCTGTCTCTGCTGCCCCACCACACTGACCTGCACATAGCAGAGTGCAAGTAAGTGGCTTGATCGGGGACCGACCCTCTCCTTGCACAGGGCATACAACTGGATGTGACATGTTCTTGCCACACCTGCCTTCGCACCAGGAAGGGAAGATGGCAGGGAAAACCAGGCTCCCGTTCAAGTAACCTGAACCTGGGGGGTGGGGTGGCCCCTCCTCTGCTGAGCCGTGATTGTGAATAATTCAGCAGCTGAGGCGGCCGGTCCTGGGCTGCAGCCTCTCGTCTGCTGGCTGCACAGCGTGATGTGCCCTGTTTGGCTGCCTTTCACTTGTTGCATTAGTATGGCAGGTTGTGGCGGGACCCACTCCTGACGCCAGGTTCCTAGGAAATGGAACACCCTCACTGTGACCCTAACGTGCACAGAGCGCAGGGCCAGGTCACCCAGCCCAGCAGGTGCCGGGCAGCGCGGCAAGGGTTGGACACGAAGCTGCCTTCCAGGAATATGAGTGCACAGACCAGAGCGTAAAGGGCGCACGCGGTGGAAGGCCACACTTCTCTTCCCGGGGTGGAGCCGAGCCCAGGGTCTCCTGAGTTGATTTTGGGGTTGGGATCTAACCCTTGACCTCCCAGGTCTGTGCACTGCTACTGAGCGACATCGTCAGGCCACCTTCCACTTTAAAAGGCATCTGGTTTGTGGGCAGCGCTGGGCCCTGGAAGGTCACCTGTCAGACCCTCCTAGCCCCGTGGAAGCCATCCCCTCCCTTTGCCCTTTCTCCTGGCCCTGGAGAAGGTACAACACCTACCACCAGTGTCCGGACTTAGCCCACTCTTGGCGCTGTGGGCAGCGGACAGGGATGGTGTGGTGACCGTGCAGAAAGGACACTGGACTCCAGAGGTTTAAGACCTCCAGTAGGACAGTGTGTGTGTGGGAAAATGGAGGCTCGGCCCAAGGGTGAGCACTGACCCCCTCATGGACTCAGTAGGCCCTGTGCCCGTACTGGCAGTTCCCGGAGTGGAGGGGAGGACTGTAATTTGGCTTATGTTTTAGTGTATTGCAAAAGCTATTTAAAAATGAGCCCAGGCAGTCCGGGGATTTAGCTCAGTGGTTCAGCCACCTGCCACGCAAGCGCAGGGTCCCAAGTTCGATCCCCGTACCCAAAAAAATGAGCCCAGGCATAACAAATGAGCTGCTGGGGGCAAGTTTGAGGCCACCCACCTTGAAACCTGCAGATTAGGGAAAGATTGGGTGGATCCTCTGACTAGTGTGCAGAGCCCCAACTGAGTCGTTTTCTTTCAGGCCGGGGATTTAGCTGAGTGGTTCCGGTGCCTGCCTTGCAAGCACAAGGACCCGAGTTTGATCCCCGGTACCAAAAAATAAAAAAGAGTCATTTTCACTGGGTATAGTGGGGCATCTTTGTGATCCCAGCTGCTCAGGAGGCTGAGACAGGAGAGTTGCAAGTTTGGGCCAGCCTGGACAACTTGGCAGTACTTTTTTTTTTTTTTTTTTTTTTTGTCCTGGGAATCAAATTCAAAACCTTGAGCTTGCCAGGCAGGCTCAGTGCCACTGAGCTACCTCCCTGGCCCAGCAATACATTGGTCTTGCAATTTTAGACAGGGCAGAGTTGCAGCTCAGACATCGAGCGCTTGCTTAGCATGCTTGAAGTTTAACTTCATCTTCAGCATCCCTGAGTTTCACTCTCCAGAAAGAACCACAGGCACAAAAATTCTGTGTCCTGCTGTGGCAGGAGAGCTAGGAGGAGCCGGAACAAGCTAATTCTTTTTCTTCTCTCTGTCTCCCTAGAAACTTGAAGGGTCTAAGTGCAAAGGTCAACTTTTGATTTTTGGGGCAACCAACTGGGACTTGATCGGTCGTAAAGAAGTGCCTAAGCAGCAAGGTAGGAGACGCAGTTCCTAAACATCGGTCAGTTGTCCTTCCGTGTTAGGTGTCCAGGGCAGTCGTGACCGCTCCTCAGGTAGGTGTTCCGTACTCACAGCTCTGTAAGTCAGAGGCCAGGTGACTTGCCTGAGGCCACACAGCCACTGTAGCGGGGGAGCTGGGTTTGAGTCCTGGTCTGCACAGAGACTCCCACTTCACACTTCTGGGAAACCAGTTCCGTGAGGATTGCTCATGGAAACAGAAATGGGTTTCTCAGATACGCGTGGACACCGCTTTCTGCCCCACCCGCCTCCTCCCCTTCCTCCTCGTTTGACTTGCCCTTCCTGACAATGAGCAGCCTGGTCTCCTACCAGACGTGTGCTAGACGTCGATGGCTGTCAGGTGTCAGGAGCCTGACGCTTAGCAGAGCGCACCCTGATTCACAAACTGCCGGCTTGACAGTGAGCAACACTTGAGAGAGAGGGGACAGAGAAGTCCCAAGCAGTAACTTTTGTCCTCGTGTTTTTTTTTTTTGGTGGGTGTTGTTGTTTTGTTTTATTTTTTTTAGTACTGGGGATTGAACTCGGCACCTTGCACTTGTGAGGCAGGCGTGGTGCCACTGAGCTAAAATCCCCGGCCCCCCCACCAATAACTTTTTGTCCCAGCTACCTTTAGGAAGTTGATGTCTTTCCTCAGGGGAAGGACGCCCATCCCCGGGAAGGCCGGCCTGTTGCCGTACTTTATGTCTTCTTGGTTTTCTTTGGAAACTTTCCCAAAGTGCTTTCTACCATTGCTCCACCCGTGAGCAAATACCTGCCCCATCACACCCTGGCACCGACGCCAGGGTGTGGGAGCCTGGCTTGTCTCAGGGAGCCTCAATGGGTCCCAACAAATGGCGGCTCCCTTGTGTAGCAGGCCTGGCCTGCCACGGGCAGCCAAGTCCCAGAAAACACCTCCTGGCTGTGGCACCTCTGCCAGTCCTGCTCTTAGCCAGCCGGCCCACCGCGGCTCGGGTGTGGGAGCCAGCATGTGGCCCAGCGTGGGGGCTGAGGCCACAGAGGCTGGCCCACAGCAGCTCTAACTGTGGTGTCTTGAGAGCTACCCACCCACCCACTTCTGCCTGAGCTGCTGTGGGCTTTCTCCTTGTGGTTGGTTGGTTGGTTGGTTTGTTTGGTACCAGAAGGGAACTTGGGACCTTGCACTTGGGAGGCAGGTGGCGGCACCACTGAGCTGAATTCCTGGCCCTGTGTAGTATTTTTAATTCTAAAAATCCCTTTGAATAAACATTGGAGGGAAGGGAAATGAAGGGAATTTGTTTCCTCACTGGTCGAGGTGGAAGAAGGTGTCTGCCCCACCTACCTCCACCTGTCAGGGACCCCGGGTAGCCCAGGGACCCCGACCGCAGCTGCCCACCTCTGGTTGGCTTCCCAGGCAGCACAGTGGGCCTCGCCAGGGTCTGGAGGCTGATGCGGGGGGAAGCGGTGGAGGAGCAGGAGCGGTATCGATAGCCCTCAGGCGGTCTGCTGCTCCTGAGGGATTAGCTGTGACCCCTCTGGACGGAGACGCTGGGGCAGGAGCCGCCCCCCGTCCTTGGGAGCTGGCCGGGTGTGGACCTGTGGGGTGCCCGCAAGGCCGCAAACACCAGCTGCCTGTGAGACTCGTGCCACTTGGCCACGCCGTGACAAGCAGGTGCCTCTGCCCTCCGCCTCGTACCCTGGCCGGGTTCTCTTCCAGTTCGGAGGTAGCCTTTGAGGACGCCACTTCTGGCTTCCCTGCCCCTGGCACGGCTGACCTCCGCCTCCGTCAGTGAAGGCGTCTGCTGGGGCAGCGCTTCGTGAACCTGACCGGCAGCCTGACCAGGGCCGTCTGCCCCGCAGGGGACCTGCCCTGTGAAGCAGGGACAGAGAGTCACAGCCTTCTGTCAGCTCCTCCCGGGGTCAGGGTGACTGACGTGAGCCGCTGGTTCCTAGCCTCTCGGTTGTCCGTCCCAGTTTGAAAATGAAGCAAAAGGTTGTCCCTGCCCCTTTGTCACGGCTGGAGTGGGGAGGTCAAGGGAGTAGCGTGGTGTTGCCCTCCAGGGTCCTGTGACAGGATTGAGCTGTCACCATGAGCCAAGTGTCTGGGCTGCCCTGGCTGCTGTTGCAGAAGGGAAGGGAAGGCAGGTGGCTCGGCAGGAGGGGAGCTCAGGTGGGCCGCGTGGGTCCCGGCTGGGGCGCCACCAGTTAAAGGGGAGATTTCTTTTTGATTCTTGTTTTCATTAGTCAGAGTTTGCAGTACATAATGGTTATGTTTTAGCACGGGGGAGTTGGTGTCTGCACGGAACACATCTTTGTTCATTCTTTTTGTGTCCCTTTCCTCTGTCTCTTGGCCACTGAGGGGAGATTTCCAGGTCAGGTGTGGACCATTGGTGTTTGGGAGGGACGCAGTTGGGGAAATGACTTCATGGGAGCAGGTTCCAGCTGACACGGAGAGCAGGAAAGAAACTCATCAGGCCGGGGCAGGGGCCATGGTGTGGCAGGCAGGGCCTTACTGGAAGGCACAAGTGCCAGGAGGGTGACAGCAGGCCACACTGGCTCTGGGGGTGGTTTGCTTTGGGGCCTTGGCGAGCAGCACAGAGATTTGAGGTGCACACTTCATACCGTCACCACCCCAGGGAGGCTGCCCCTTGGTGGCCTGTGACATTTTGGGGGTGTTCTCCCCATCCCTGAGCTGCCGGGATTTGACTGGATCTGTTCTCTCCGCAGCCGCTTACCGTAATCTCGGTCAGAACTTGTGGGGACCCCACAGGTATGGATGCCTGGCGGGGGTCCGGGTGCGGACCGTGGTGTCCGGGTCGTGTGCTGCCCACAGCCTCCTCATCACCACGGAGGGAAAGCTGTGGAGCTGGGGTGAGTACCACCCAGGGCAGGGGTCCGGGGGCTGCCTCTCCACCACCTGGAGGGGGCGGGCCTGCTGTTCGATGCCCTGTTTTCTCCTTTCCCAAATCCCGGCCTGCCTTGCCTGTGCCCTACAGAGAAATCCCCTCCCTCTCCCCGCTGGGCTTTCTCATCTTCGTGCTGTTCCCCTACCTGTTATTTTGGGCCCTATTAATTTATTTATTGTTTCGATTTTTTGAGACAAAACTCTCTGTATAGCTCAGACTGGCCTTAAATTTGCAGTGACCCTCCTGCGGGCTATTACAGGCATGGGTGTGCCCCTAAATAAAGCCTGGCCTCCCCGGAGTCCTCTTTAGCAACCTTTTCCCAAACCTTTGGGCTGAAGTTTGATCTTTCTGACACTGACGTGCCTCACACCAAGCGCCTGTTTCAGGCACACGTCCCGCAGCAGACTGTGCTGTCTTGCTCTGTAGCACAGTGACACAGCTTTTGTAGCTGCCCCCTCTCGCCACAGGCCCCTGGAGCTCACAGCAGCTTGGTCTGTTTCTCTGGCTGTTGCCCCAGGTGGTTGCGTTTCCTGTTCCGGTTTTCAGTGCAGGGCTTGGGGTGGCCCCGGACTTGCCCGCCCCACGCTCCGCCGTTCTGCCTCTTCCCTTCCAGACTGTTAATAAGGTATTGGTGATTGACCACGACTCGCCCTGCTCCCAGCTGGGCGTGTTGGCGTTTGTCCCTACCCTTTGTCTCTGGCCCTTTGGCTGCCTTTTCGTCCATATGACTGCATTTTTATTTCGGTCTGTTTGAACCATTTTTTGAGATTTCCTGAGCTGCTGCACCAAAGTCCAAATATATGAACATCTGTTGTCTTCCCTCACTCTGCTAATTTTGTAATTGTGTTGCAAAAAAGCCAACAAGTGTGTCTGGCCCAAATTTATCCTTCCCAGCTCTTGATGACACGCTGACATTTGCCCTGATTTTTGTCCTCTGCTGGTCAGCCTTAGGGTGTGTCCCTCCTCCTACTTTCCTGCTTGTGCCGACCCTGGACACAACCTCGTGTGTCACCGCTCCAAACTTGACTGGCTGCTTTCTCATCTCTGGAGTCTCCTCCCCCGTGGTTCTGAGCCGGGCCCTGTCCGTGCTGACCCCGCGGCAGGAGCTGCCGTGTACAGACCCATGATTCCCCGGAGCCAGAGCGGAGGCCCATGGGGATCATGGGTCCGCTGGGGGTCACGCGGGAGCCCGTTGGTGCCACACTGTGGCCCCGTGCTCGGGGCTGAACATGCCTTTCAGGGTGGAGCCGGGGCGGTGCTTGTGCCAGTGTGGTGCTAAGCAGGCCTCTCTTGACAGGACCCGCGGAGGAGGCCTCTTCTCGCAGCGGTCCCCCCCACCCGTGTCCTCCCGGGCCAGCGCGGGCCACTCCCTCTGCCAGCCCCTCCAGGGCACTGGCACCCGCCCGTGTGGCTGTGCTCAGCATTGTCTCCTCCTCAAAGTGAAAAGCTTGATGTTGGGGAAGGGCGCCTCAGCAGTGCTCCGACGTCTCAGCCCGTCAGACCTCCGTCACCCCACAAACCTTAGGACACGTGGGGAGGCCTCGAGGGTTCCCTCGGGTTTTCTGTTAGACCCGTGGTGGGACCCGGGTGGGATTTGGGGTTGTCTAGCTCTCCTTGCCGCCCACCCAGTGCATGCGTCCACAGGGGCAGCGACTTCACTATACCCAGAGCCCCTCCAGGGACAGGGGTGGCCCTGTACCCTGAGTATTCAGCACAGGCCTGTCTCTTGTCCCCAGGGTTCACAGGGCTCACAGTCCTTGAGGGGCGATGGGAGGGGATGCATACGGGAGGGCATGAACAGACTTAAACGGTCCAGGTAGGCGCCCTCCAGGTAAGGTGGAGGCAGGTGTTAGACCGGACCCAGAGAGGAGCCGAGGGAGCAGGGTCTCCCAACGCACCTGGTAGGCAGCTTCTGGGCATTTCTTGCATTTCCTTGGGTATCAAAGGGGTGTGCGTGGATGGGTCCTCATACTGCCGTAGGAAGGGAAGTCAGAAGGGTGTGTGGGCACAGGCAGCTGGCCACTGCCCGGAAGGGGTCTCGGGCAGCAGGTGGCATCATGGGTACTGCATCCCACTCCGAAGGACAGAGAAGCTGGAGCCTGCGCTGCCCTAGCTCAGGCTCTCTCGCGTGCTCTCCCCCCCCCCTCTTTTTTTGGTACCAGGGATTGAACTCGGGTCCTTGCACTTGCCAGGCAGGCGCCGGGACCACTGAGCCAGATCCCCAGCCTGGAGGCTCCCTTTCAGTGGGTCTCTGTTAGGCTCTGAGCCCTGCAGGGCTGTCCTGCTCCTCGCTCCTCCCAGTTACAAAACTGTGTTCTATCCGTAGGGCGAAATGAGAAGGGGCAGCTGGGCCATGGCGACACCAAGAGAGCGGAAGCCCCCAGGCTGATCGAGGGGCTCAGCCACGAAGTGATTGTGTTGGCCGCCTGTGGGCGTAACCACACTCTGGCCCTGACGGGTAAGGAGCTGGCGGAGACCAGGGGCCACCCTGGTGTGGGGTGGAGTCACCTCTGTGGCTCTTGGTTAAGTCAGAAAGGGGCCCAGGTGGCTGCAGGAGACGCCGCCCCAGCTGAGACCCTGCCTGATGGGCAGTGGGGTCTGCTCTGAAATCCCCACCCCGCCGGGCATCTGCCTGGCAGAGGAGCTGTTTTTATTATTTTAATGCTTTTGGCTCCAAACCGAGTTGAAAACATTCAGCCTTCCTCTCCCTTTTGTGATGTTTCCCTCCTTCCAGAAACGGGCTCTGTGTTTGCATTTGGAGAGAACAAGATGGGGCAGCTGGGCCTCGGGAACCAGACAGATGCCGTCCCCAGCCCCGCACAGGTAACCGGAGCACAGCGCCTTCTTTGTAGGTCTGTGGTCTGGCGTCAGATGGATGCTTTAATGAGAAAGCTCTTCTTTCCTGAAGACAGATGTGTGTGCAGAGGACTGGGCTTGAGTCTGTTTTGTTCCAGAGAAAGTGAGAACTGTTTCTGGATGTAGCTTTGTCTTTATCTGCAAAAATTTTGGTTTGACCTCGTGTGGCGTCACCTGCCAGGGCTTAGATAGAACACGGGTAGGTGCTGGGGTAACGGGCGTGTACCACCGTGCCTAGCCCGACTCATTCATTCTGAACCTTTTTTTATTTCTTGTTTATACTTCTCATTTGAGATTTAGGAGCCCAGAATAGTGGTACACGCCTGTAATCTAGGCTCTTAGGAGGACGAGGCAGGAGTGTGGCCAGTTCCAGCCCTGCCTGGGCAACTTGGCAACTTAACAAGACCCTGTCTCAAAATAAAAAAGGGCTGGGGATACAGCTCCGTGAGAGGGCCCTGAGTTCAGCCCCCGGTATTGCAAAAAAAAAAAAATTTTTAAAAAAAAAAAAAAAAAAAAAAAAAAAAAAAAGATTCATGACTTGAGTAACTATAGTCATGAACAAGCATGTAGAGCAATGTTCATCAAAACCGGTGGGCACTGACACTAATAAAGACATCTGTTGTGTTAAAGTTGGTGATGTGGGGTTAGTGAGGTTTGGGGTTACTGGCCAGTGTCACAGAATTTATTTATTTATTTTTGGTACCGGGATTGAACTGGGGTCCTTGCGCTAGCGAGGCAGGCAGGCGGTGGAACCACTGAGCCAAATCCCCGGCCCTAATGATTTCCTGGCAAGGCAATGAAATCATGAATTATCACCTACAAGGCTGGACATAGTTGGAAAAGTTCATTTT